GTTAAGTGATGTGTACCACGTCAAGATGCTATGACATCCTTGTGTTTGAGCACTTAGATGTGACAATAGTCTAAATACTTAAGGTAGCATGGGTCGCCTCCTTTTCTGTGGAGAACATTGAACTTCTCCTTCGTGTGCCGACATTTACCAGTACACGTTGTATTATGGCAGTGTAATTTATCCTTAAACAATGTTTTACATTGTTTCTGTTGAGATTGAATAGAAGTTCATAGCCTTGTGTTCATACCAATGGTTAGTTGTCAGGAATGTTGTGCTATCTAATGATGTGAAAGTTATTATATTTAGATGCCTTGGGATTCAAGTGTAATATGGAATCTTCTAGAACAACTAGACTAATCTCATTTCACATTACATCAAGACCAGCGGTTGTGTGAAGATTACGTTTTCCAGCTTAGACCTTTATGTTGGAAGCTTGACCACTGTTGCTGCAGGGTGAATAGTATTATCATTGACACATTGCTGTCACCACTGTATTTTATACTGCCATTGAATTACGTACTGCTTTTGTGTTGTGTACTGACATTGTAATAACTTCGCAGTAATTTTGTATTGATTTGTAAACCTAGTTATTGTATAATACAATCGTTAATTGTATACCATTTCTTTGTTGTTTGTTGGTATCACACTGATTTCTTTTCCGTATAGACTTCTGCCTCAACTTATTTTTCAATTTGGAAGTCAACAACGTATGTCCTCTAATTTTGTTTGGTTTGTTTGTTGTTTTACGCCGCACTCAGCAATATTCCAGCTATATGACGGCTGTCTGTAAATAATCGAGTCTGGACCAGACAATCCAGTGATTTACACCATAAGCATCGATGTACACAATTGGGATACAAACGACATGTATCGAAAAAGTCAGCGAGCCTGACCACCCGATCCCGTTAGTCGCCTCTTACAACAAGCATGGTCGCCTCTTACAACAAGCATGGGTTGCTGAAGACCATTTCTAACCCAGATCTTCACGAGTTTGGTCACTATGAGAGGGACTTTCTCGTCACATGCTCACACCATGAAAGAAGCTTTGTTAAATAGCATGTGGATAAAGCAGCCAAACAGCTGAAAATATAGAAGTAAAATTACGCCCTATCTACATGTCAGCTAAATTTGTTCCAGTGATAGTAGTAGACAATGGCGGACGCCATTGTTACTTATCCCAAGTGTACACTGTTACGTTAATCGTTAGATATACTTCTAGTGAGACCAGATAGAATATGATATTCCTGGTATACAAGATATGTGATAAACTTTCATACATATCAGATGGCAGGAATTCGTTTGTACGTGAGTCTCTAATGTTTGTATTCTGGATTGATACAACCAATTCCAACCCGGATCTTCATAGGTCTCTCTAACTACATACCCTACTTTCTAAAACTTAAAATTCACATATCTCATTTTAAACTTTCACAAAGCACTGTGTTAGGGGAAGTATTTGAAAAATATACAATAACTCCTTGTAGTCTGTATTTATAGTGTGCGAGTTGCTCGTGTGTGATGCAGGTCACATGAGTTCCGTGCTGCTGGGGCCCGTCGCGTGTTGCTGTTGACAGAGCATTCTTCACATTTCTTTATGATTTTGTGAGGCCCTTAACGAGTACTTATCACTAAATGTGTGCGCGTGTTGACAACAGGGTGACTGGAATAATAGCAATTATAGAGCCCTGAACAGGAATACATATGTTTCTCCTGTTTTAGTTAGTTTTTTTCTCATCAAAATGTTATCTATTAGCAGTTTATTCACTTTGGAATGATCCCATCCTGTACCCCCTCACCCTCACATCTGATGCAGCACAAAGCCCACGAGTGTAGTGTATATGTTAATGAGATCGATGTCGCTATTACTGCTGAATAAAATGAATTCTGCCTCACAAAAACGTATATGTATGTAGGGACTATCAAAGCCGTCATTTGATTATGTTCAGATGGGCAGTATAATTTTTACCACAAGAGAATACAAAATGTTTCGGTTGGTATTTCATTTGGTACATTAAATTATCACAAGAGAGCTGTAATTATTCGCCAACATTACAGAACACGGAAGCACCTGATATAGCATTTGAACCGTTGCAATGACTGGCGGTCCTTTACTGTCGGACACTCTGTTGCGGGCGGTCACTTCGACCAAGACACATCATGACTGGTCCAATAAACACGTTGTAACGTATGTATCAGAGATGGTCTAAACGATGGGGAGGCAAAGTTATATACCAGGAATGTCAGAGACACGCATAGTATTTCAAAGATGTGTTGTGCTTCTCCGTGAACCAGCATGCTGGTATGGAGGACAGGTGTTCTCCTGCACTACATTTACCATTCCATCGTAATGTGAGCGCATTTGGCTGAATGTCCCACTGACCAACGAGCGTATTTTGGGGCACAGCGGATGATGCGATACGCAGGCTACACTGTTTTACTCAAGCCAAGGTCATCTCTCGGCAGGCAGTCGTCGTGTGTAGATAGAAGTACACAACATCGATTGATTCACAGTATCAGCATTACTAGACGCAAGCTGGGAAGCCTGGAGCAAGGGAAATTTGAGATTTATTAACTTTTAAGTGCCCTTATCCCTAAACGATTAATTTGTGTAAAAGAGTCATGTTATTTCAAGATGCACTGTAGGTGCAGTGTGTTATTACCTTGAGTGTACATGTACATTCGTGGCGAAGAAACTATACATAATTGACACACCTGTCATGGAGAATGTTGCCTTCGGGCTTACTCATTTCAAGGACCATGGCGTTTTGTTCAAGACAAAACTTGACGTAATGCGAATAAGACTACTTGGGCAGTCGGTTTCAAAATACATTTGTTTCTTCGGGCGACATGTTGACATTGTGAAATGCGCGTCCATGTAACTGTTCTTTAGCGCTGTTGGATAAGCAGATGAAACCTTTCAAGTTATCGACATTTATCGACGGGTGGCCATTTCCCTTAACTGTTGTAAACACCTTTTTGTTCACGTCAATATTTTCCACGGATTTTATAATTTCACAGACGTTATTAAACTTTTTTGGCACTTAAACATATCTCAGAGGAGTTGTCTCTTTTTTATCTGTGAAAGTTGCGATTGCTGTATATCGACATTTGAAGTAAATAGTTTAGGTAGTATTTGCTTACTCTTTTAACACTTTATTCTTTCTGTTGTTTTGACTTTGCACGTTTAGTCAATACTCTTCCTTCTGTCAACTTAACACTCACCACCAAGACAGGAATTAAACAAAATGGGGAAATGTCTGCACTACCAAATGAGGGGAACTGGAGAGTTCCTTGTGATCCTTTGTATCTATCGGGAATTCAGACATAAGAGACTTACGTACAAAGGAATCCCTGCCATCTGATATATATGACAGTGTATCATCTATCATGTTTAACAGGATAATCATATTCTCTTTGGTCTCACTAGAAGTATATCTAACGTTTAACGTAACAGTGTACACTCGATATAAGTAACTATGGCGGAAGCCATTGTCTACTACTATCACTGGTACAAATTGGCTCACATGAAAATAGGCGTAATTTTTCTTCTATATTTTACAGCTGGCTGACTGCTTTATCCACATGCTATTTCACATAGCTTCTTTCATGGTGTGAGCATGTGACGAGAAAGTCCCTCTCACAGTGACCAAACTCGTGAAGATCTGGGTTAGAACTGGTCTTCAGCAACCCATGCTTGTTGTACGAGGCTACAATGCTTGTCGGGTGGTCAGGCTCGCTGAATGTTTTGATACATGTCATTGTATCCCAATTGTGTACATCGATGCTCCTGGTGTCAATCAGTGGATTATCTGGTCCAGACTCGATTATTTACAGACAGCCGTCAAAAAGCTGGAATGTTGCAGAGTGCAACGAAAACAACAAACATAGTGACTTTAAGTTAACTTCTTGTTAGCCGTGGACACTACTTGTCATTTGGGTTCCAAGAATAAACGTAAGGTCGGAGACATACGACATACTTTGCAGATGACCGTATGCTCCAATTAGTTTAGGGAAATATGTTTCTTAGATCTGTACTGTATCATATGTTTGATATTATTCGCTGTGTAATGTTCTTACCCTCCACACACTAAACGTGATTCTGGCAGCTCATCTGGGGTATTATGCTTATCCGATATACAAACAACTGGTCGCGTGCCTTAATTTTACAATTGCTCGATAATGTAGCCATTTGTGTTCGTTTTCAGTTTGTGTGGAATCGTTATCTTCCCGTGACACGAGATACGAGAAGGATAAATTCTAAGGCGCTGACGTTTTAATGTGTTGCGTTCAAGACTTGTTGACCTAAACACCGTGCAAGCGCTATATTAGTTTAATTTACCTTATGAAAGAGTATCGAGCAACTGCGCTTGAACATTTGTACTTATTGCTGAAAAATATTGTCATTGCCGTTGTCATAGTGTTTACTGAAACACTGACTTGGTGGTCTTACTAGTCAATAAAGAAATCAAATAAACCCGTTTAATCATTTCCTGATGAACTGATTCGATTACTATTTAAACAGTAAGGTACTTTATCGATTGATTAATCGTTCTACTTTAGAGCCCGATGAATAATGCAATTATTTGACTGCACGTAATGACACCTATAACTATTCTACGCTTCACCTGTACTCATTGCTTATGGAATCGTATCATTTTCTACACAAACAGCATATATGATTAACTTCATTTATTGTAAAAAACACAATTTAAAATCGTGTCAATAACGCTTTGAAGAACGCAGTTCAAAGCCATTTGCAAATCACCATTTGTCAGACTCATTTGGTCGTTGACGTGATAGGGTTTTGGTAATATATACGGATGTAGGAATTGTGACGGTTAACATGCTACAACTGCCGCTTAGCATTGATTTAATCTGTGCATCCTTTCGTTTCCTACCCAATGGGACTCTCGTTTATTCACCAGTGCAGTAGGTAGTGCCACGTGGTATCATTACAGATCGATCGCGCGTTTGTCAATTTACGAACGCTGAGGTAGCGTGGTAGCGTTACCCGCGAGTTGGCGGGGAACTGCCTCACACTCGCGCGTAAGGCGTTAGAATCTTCAGTGGATTGCACGCCTGAGTCGTGGCAGCATTCGGAGTTCTAGTTTCTCTACTTCACAACCAATACAGAGAGACAGCATTTGAGGACTTACCTTAGGCATTCGCTCTGCAAATGGTCTTACAGGTAAGGATGCTGATATATATTGCTTTCACATAAACGCTAATAAATAGTTATTGATAGTTCTTAGAATATTTGAGCATCAGTTGACGCAGCAACTGATGGATGTATCATTAATTGGTTCGAGCAATACAACTTTAGCCACCATCTATTATTCAATGTACCCAAACGATTCGCATGAAATGCCCCAGCAGGAGATAGCTTCTGCCAAGTCCCTGTGACGGCGTGTTGACATGACATTCGTTCGCAGAACAACCTTAGAAAAGTTAAATCATTCATAAGAAGAAAACTTAGTAAAATGTTTTTACGTGTCAGTAACATTTTACGTTCTATTAATTCGTGCATGTACGAGCCACATATGTTCATACATATAAAGAATATATATCGTCTCGTGGAATTGTTTCAACAACACTTGATATGGCTCTTTTTAACATATACCTAGCTTACAAGAACTGACCGTATGCTTTAACTACATGTTTAAAAGAAATGTCCATATCAGCAGCTGTGATTGTATGCATTCCATGCAGGCATGTAAGCTGTCGATATATGTCATTTACCTACAACAAAATTCAGCGTCTATGAACCACCTGCTGAGCTACAATTTTACGACCTGAAATGAACGAAACGGTTATTTTTCAACTCTTCAAAAAGAAAATTATACAAAACAAACCATCTGACTAGAAGGAGATACAACCTGATATATTTGAGTTGAATATTTTTTGTTTCTAATAGCGCCACAAACTGTTCCTCCTGTTGGGTGATGTAGCATATACATCGTAACTGTCTCACTAATATTACAACCATCACCAGGGAGCTTTAGAATAGCTTACAATTCCATCAGAAAGCAAGGCACGTTACCAAATGCTGTAATGCAACAGTAACAGTGTTTATCTCTTAATTGTTAGTGAGACGACCTTCGCTCATAAACTGCTCATTTAGCGTCTCCATGCTTTAGAACGACCCCCAGCAGCAAGCAGCATTCCCAGACATCTTTTTGCTCTTTATATATTAACACGCATGTCTGAAACAACCACAAAGATATATATGTGTATTTGGAATGGTTTTCTACTCGGAGGACGGCGTCATGCTGCAGAGTGTTCTGTAATATCGAAATACAAACACAATATTAGATTGGATTATTTTTTTGATAGTGTTTGCACCACGTATTTTCTGGCATTTGTTTCATTTGGTTTGGGCATCAAAATATAGGTACGTTAGCGTTCTTATAAATATGAAATAACAGCATTTCTGCACGCCACTGTAGCAGCAACGTGTACTGGTTCATGACGGGTCTGGTAATCCAAGTGTTACGTGTGACAGGAGTACATGGTACGAGAATGAGTGAGTGAGTATGGTTTTACGCCGCTTTTAGCAATATTCCAGCAATATCACGGCGGGGGACACCAGAAATGGGCTTCACACATTGTACCCATGTCGGGAATCGAACCCGGGTCTTCGGCGTGACGAGCGAACGCTTTAACCACTAGCCTACCCGACCGCCCCGGTACGAGAATGAGCACACACGGGGGATGTTCAGTTTTGATCAGGCTTGACTCGAGTGCTGAATATTTCATAAATTTCTAAACCCTAACTGTAATGATGTGCAGGCTAGCTGGTAACACTTTTGATAATTCAGTCTCTGACAACCAGACAACCCCCACCCCCACCCCCACCCCCACCCCGTCACTTAACGACTCACTCAACCACCTGCCCAAGATCTCATTCACTCACTCACATACTCACTTACGACCTCATCCAACCACCTCAACTGACGTACGTCAAGATAAATACCTTCCCGGTACATTTCCTCTTTTAATTAATCATGGGTTAGTTCCACAAAGCGATCTCAGCGATCTCAGCGCTATTATTGTCGAAAGTCTATTTTAAACTGTAGGAGTTACGATCGTCATACCGCTGAGACCGCTTTGTGCAACGGGATCCAGAACAGCATTCGACGCACACTTCAATCGCAGTAGCAGTGAATCAGATGGGAAGTCAACAACAGTTGTCATAGAGATCAATCATGTTTTACTCAACAATCACAGCAACCCTCTGTACATGTTTGATCAGCCTCTCGGTCTGTGCATTGCCTTGGTGCTAAGTGTGGCTGTAGGTAAAACGACTACCGTTAGCACCACGTTGCTGTGCTAATCAAAGCCCGATCTCCACCAACTTCCAGGTGCAAAATATACACACATCATGGAGAATTAATGTTTGGGACAATCGTTCGGTATTAAATACAGATGAATCCTCTCACACACCTCATTATATCGGTGCGTCCATGTTTGCTTCGAAAACCACTCAGGACTAGTCGATATTTGAAAGATGATATCACAAGAGTATACACCTTGATGTTCACACGATCGTTTTAACCCTCGGGGCAGTAAACATGAACCAATGTAACTTTATTACAGTCTTATTAATAATGCTGGACACTATTTTCACTGTGAGGTTATTTTTCATTGACGAAAATATGTACATATATACCATAATGCTTTTGTATTCTCATTTCGAACTCCGTTGTTTTTCTAAACAATATATGTGATATATTGAATGTATACCTGTAATCGAATCGCACTTCATGAAGATGAGACCGCCTCCGTGGTTCAAAGGTAGAGCGTCCGCCCGGGCAGCAGAACTTCGGGGTTCGATTCCCAGCCGTGTCATACCAAAAGACGTCATTTTGGAAGTATATATACCCCGGATATTTTAAATGAATGTGACTGACATTTTCTTCGAAAGGGATAGTTTTCCTCACGAATTGATGAGAATACATCGTACGTGGAAAACAGGTGATGTCTATACGTCAAGTATGGATGTATTTTGTTGCAGAAGATGGTATTGATGTGGTCAAAGACTCATTTACAGTAAGTGTGAGTCATGATGGATCTTGCGATCACTTGTTACGTTCAAAGTAAGCATAAATCACTGAGAGTTGCCCGGTATCTTGATAGGACGCGTACCTTCGTAAAGGAGCTTCTGCATTTGTTCACATGCCACATCCACCTGTCCCTTTACGGAACGAGACGGAATGATTAATTAGTCCAATGACAGAGAAGAATGCCCCAGACGCTCCAAGGACATTACTGCCAATTTTGCGGGAAAATGAATACTTATTGTGGTGGCTCACACAAACTTCATTTAATCAGACGAGTGAATCAAGGAACTCAGGATGATCCAGGTGCATGTAAAATCAGTACGCACCCTTGTGGAGGTAAACAAATAGTCGTCCTTTATTAGTGAGGTGAGGTGAGGCGAAATGAGCTTTAATGCCTCGTTCGCGATTATTGCACTTATTTTGCGATTTGCATGCACGTGTGTTTGTGGCTGCTTGTACCAGTCCGGACTGATGCCGATTTTAAAATGCTAGCCAACTGAGATACCATTCCGCAGTTTAACATAAATACCCCACTCAGAAACAGATTACTGACTCCGAGCCGACCAGTCATTGTAGCCCCATTATGACCGCGGTCATATCGCTTAAAGACTGCGGCGTTAAACAACAACCATTCCCTCATTACAGTCAAGAGTTACAAACATGTTCATATAATGTTATTGCTTCCGTTGTAAATAGATATAATATTTTATATTCGTTCATTGGAGGTGCACATGTTCAACAAAATGCTGTAAAGCCAGTTTACCCTCCCAAGTTTCTGTATCATTATTTTATGGTAACCTTGATATGTATATATTTCATTACCTGCCTTAACTCACGCGGGGGCAGTTTCTCTTGTCATGTTCAATTATGCCTTGAGCTATTTCTTCATTCTGAAATATTACTTTACGCTGCAGAAAGGTCGGTACTTTTATATTTACTTTCCCTTTGACTTTGGGTAAACTATGAAAGTATGAGATGCAACATTTCAACATACTGGGGTTTGGGTGCGTTACAACGTGAGTTTCAAGTGGTTCACGTGTTATGAGCTCACGTGCTAGGTCTCCTGTGGTGCGTCGTCTGAGAAACAGAATTAGTTGATACACTCTTCTAGACATTCCTGTCTCCACCATGTAGAGCTTAACAGTTAGACTACCACTCCTTATATAACGCATAGATCATAACTTGCTTTCTCAACAGTATAAAGTTACATAGTTATGGATGGCATTTATCGGCCAAACATAAGACTTCTTAATATTGTATTAGTGGTATGTCAATACTCAATATGAAACTAAGTACTTAAATATAGTTTTCTGATAGCCAAAATAATCTATATTTTGTGTATTATTCATCATTAATAATCGGCCTTTACGTGTTGGCCACGTCTGCAAGGTAACGTTAATACAGCGGGAATCGCAATTCGGAATTGCAGTCAGAGAATAAATCAGCCGCGAGACTCTCTATTGACCGGCTATTGTTTATATCATCTTCACGAATGCATATATACATATATTTTCCAGCATCATGTCTGCTGATTTTACATCATGGACTCTATATATGTCTCTGTCTCTCTGTATGTATGTTTTTCTCTGTATATGTTCCTCTCTCTGTTTCCGTCTGTGTCTTTCTCTCTGTCTCTCTATGTCTCTTTCTCTATCCGCGTCTCTCTCTGTCTCTCTGTGTGTCTCATTCTCTGTGTGTGTGTCTCCCTCTCTCTCTCTCTCTCTCTCTCTCTCTCTCTCTCTCTCTGTTTATATACTTAGTTGTGTCATGACATGATCTATCACTGAGGAAAATCTGAAGAGTTGTTCTGCGTGAATTGTGACGTGTTTAAACAATAGGTCATGTGTTACGTGACACAGTGAGAAACAAAAGCGTGGATGGGGAGAATGAATAGACAATAACCTGATATCCTTTATCTCATAGAATGGTGCTAAGATTGGCAATAACCATATAATACATGATTATATCTCCTGGTAAACCTTGAATTTAACGTGAAGCACCAATGCCATAAATGTGATGCTTTAAATGGGGTAACGGATACGTTCATTCAATTAGTACTGAGAGGCGTGGCCTGTTTATATAACCCACTTGACTGTACCGGTGTTGCAATTCACATGTTCAACTTGAA